ATTTATTTTTAGTAGGCCAGGACAAGAAAACTCCGTTGGCTAATTTTGAAATTATTATTATTTATTTATGTTTCACTATGAAGGACCTTGGAGAAGCTTCATATATCCCGAGGATAAGGATATTGAGAAATAGAAGTAAAAGACTAATATGACTTAGTCAAAGTACCTACTTGGACAATGTGCTGAAACGTTTTAGCATGGAGAACTCCTAGAAAGGTGACTTACCTATCCAAGGAAATACTAAACTGAGTAAGACTCAGAGTTTGAGTACAGAGGCTGAGATAGCATAAATGAGTCATATACCATATGCTTCCGTAGTTGGTTCGGTCATGTATGTTATGACTTGTACTCGCCCTGATGTTGCCTTTGCTTTAAGAATAGTTAGCGGATATCAAGGAAACCCTGTTAAAGCTCATTAGACTGCGGTTAAGAACATTCTTAAGTACTTACGGAGGACTAAGGACTGGGTCCTTACCCTCAGTGGGGGTGATGAATTGAGAGTAACCCCCGAGTCTTCCTGCATAATGACACCTCCTAATCTTTCATACATAAAGCCTAGGGCTAACCCCCGAGTCTTCCTACCGTGCATCAACTAAATGAATCATAATTGGTGCCTTGGACCCATACAAACAGTGAGGAGACTTACCTCGCATTGCTGAAGTCCCGAGAATAAATCTCTGGCTGCTGGCTGACAGATCCCCGAACTATCAATCGTCAAAACAAAACCCAATTAACAATCGGGTTCTAATGCATAACCATAAGTCCATACTTGGGGTAAAAAGATCATTTTACCCCTGACCTAGTTTGGTCCATGGCCAAGGCCCAAACTCAAACTCTAGAGGCCCAAAAGCCAAATAATAAATCAAGGCCTAACATATGGCCTAAATTTCCAAATTGGGCCCAAACCTCTACATGGTCTTACCTTAAGGCCCAACCCTTTATTCTAGTCCAAACATTTGGCATTCTGATGGTCCACTATCTCATAATCATCAAGGCCCACTTATGGCCCAATTTTCCAAATTAGGCCCAAACGTCTCACATGGGCCTTACCCTAAAGCCCATCAAAATATTCTAGTCCATATTCTTGTTCTTGGATGGTCCATCAATAGCCTAATCACCAATCCCCAACAAAAATGCCCAACTCAAGACCCAAACAAAATTAGGGTTTTCACATAAAATGACGATTAGGGTTAAGTAAGAACACTTAACCCATTAAGGACTTAATCTGTTAATTCCATATTGCGTTGAGTTAATTTTAGAGGTTATTAACTAATAATTTAAATCTAATAAATAATTTCAATGCGGGTCCCATTAACTTCCAAATTAGGGTTTCATGACATTAGGGTTTTCTAAACCCTAATTAGGGTTCAGAACTTATAAGTTAGTTAATTAGTTAATTAAATAAATATATGTGTGTTTATAAATCGGACACCACCCGCTGCCACCTCGGGTAGTGGGGGTTGGTGGCGGTCTATGGCAGCAGCCACCACCTCACGGTGGTGGCGGTTACGATTTTTAGGCCAAAATAGTGAAAACATTTCAAACACACGTCCAATCACACACACACATACACACAATCACCAAAAGTAGCGGCAAATGGCAGCAAAACGGTGGCATGAGGTGGCAGCCACCACCTCACGGTGGTGGTGGGGGTTTTTCTTCGGTTTTTCGGCCCAAAAATGCACACACACACACACACACACCAATGTACACTAAAACACATACACCATCGTGTAGAAACACACACACACACATACAATGCAACCACCCATTCATTGTGGCATGCGACTGCCGAAAGGAATGAGGCGATGGGACAGCCGTCGGAGTGGCGACAACGGCCAGTGGGAGGTAGCATTGTTTGAAACTAAGAGGAAGGATGAATAGTTGGTTGTTCCGTTACCGTAAGGAGGCAGTAGAGGCGGCAATCGCGACTTTGTGTTCCCGATCTTCCTTACTCGCACGCTGCGCCCACGGTTATTGCCTTCGTCAGCAACAGAAGCAGCATCAAAGAATGGTTTCGCCGATAATAATGGTTTGCCGGTAGCTTGGTTGGTCAGAGAAGCAAGAGGGTAGGGTGGCAGCGGCTGCTCTAATGAGAGATCGTTTAGGGTTTTAGGGGAACCGCATGGAAGAAACACGAGAGGAGAAGCACGGGTTAAAGGCTCGTAACTTTCAAACATCATACCATATTGGTGCTTTTAGTCCCTCCCCCTTAGATTTATTTCTGCTTAGGTCCAAAGTTACAAAACAACACCCCTGCTCTCCAAAAATCTTTACATTACAAGTCCAATTGTTCCCACATAATCCCTAATTTCCATAAATTATAACGTTTCACTCCCTGAGGCTAGCAGTGATAAATTAGTATGGATTTAGGGCTAAATAAATGGAATTATAAATTATATCTTGTGGTTATAGGGTTATTATTTATTTATTCAATTGATTTTATTTATTTATTAAATTTTAAAACATAATGTTACAAGTAAATTTTGACATTCTAGGCTACAAAGATGAACAGGAACAATCGAATAATCAGTAGAAAAAAATTTTGGAATTTGATTTTGATTTTTGAAATTTTGATCTAAACAAAAATAATTTGATCAATTAATGGGGTAGAAATAGATTTGATCCAATGAAACAAAGCGATCAAAATTTGAAAAACGCAAAATATTAATCGAAATCATGGACGTTTGGGAATGCATTTGAAATACTTTTTGATGATCCGAGTTCCATTTGCAATGAACGAATCAATTTTTGAAGATCTTGGTTCTTTTTTTGGATCGAGAAAATCTACAATTTGAACATTGTTACACCCACGATGTGTGTTGTACAACTCGTTCTTCGTGTTCTTCGACGATCTAAAAACATCTTCATAAGAACCATCAGTACTTTTTGGGTTTTGATTTCAAATTCAATGCAACACTTGGAGATTGTTGCTTTGGAACCCAAATTTGCTTCATGGATTTCGGCTTCACAACAACATTTAACGATTTTTGTGAATAAACTCGCTTGTTTTACGTTTAATCTTCTTATTCTTTTTCCTTTTCATCTTCTTGGAACTTGAAGATTTGAATTCATGAACAAACCCACTTTCCACAACTTCAACTTGGCAAGTTTGAGTCAAATCTTTTGGAGTTTGATACCTGTGAATTTATTATATTTATGGCTTTTGATAAGGAATTATTCCTTCAAACGAATCACAAGAACACAAAATATCATGGATTTGAACTTCAATCGAGCGAAAAACTTTTTCATTTTCATGAGAATAAACTTGAATCTTCTTGCCAGGAACTTCAAGAACATCACATTGAACTCCATAGTCTTGAACTTCAACAAACTTAAGATAATGAAGATCATTTGGGTCTTCAATAAGAGAAATGTATTTATTATTAAACAAATATCTTTTTCTCCTTTCTTTTGATTTCTACTATGTACTAATATGGACAATACAATTTTAGTCAACCATTCAATCTTACAAAGTGGTTGAAATATCTAGCTTCCATGATCATCCTTCAAACCTCCATAAGAAACCTTATTACCCCATGAAATCAACCCGCTTAACAATAACTCTTAAGATTGATTTTCGTTGACTTTGTATTTGACATATTCAACGACCACAACCCAAGAATCATGACACATACACCATCTTTGATCAATCAATAAGATCTTGAGTTTTTCTAAAGAGAGAAAATGATAATCAAAGAGATCTCTAGAGAGAGTAAGTGAACATGAATAAAAACTACAAGAAAACGACCCTTTTACGATGCGCAAACAACGACACTCGGAGATTTATGTTACACCAAAGAGAGTGACGTTAAAAAAGTGTCATCTCTTCAAAAAATTAAGGATTTAGGTCGTGCATTATGGCGTGCCCTTAAATTAGTGTCTCATATAAAAAAATTAAAAACACGGAAGACACTTTATCTAAAAGGTGCGTCGTCTGTGCATGTCGTTTTATATATATTTTTTAAGAAACGCGCTTCTCCTTAGAGGGAAAATGAAATCCCTAAATTTTTTAAACCCCCGCCTTCTTCTCCCTCGTTTCCACCCCCTAATCGAAGCTACTAGTTGAACAACCTCTAATCGACACCACCACCTTCTCGTCTTTCCTTCTCCACCAGGTTTTCTCTCATCTCTATCCTCCACCTTCTGGATTAATGTAAATGCGTAGTTTTATAATTCTTTTACCAAACGCACATCCATTATCCTCAGTTACAAAAGGCATCCAAATCTAGGGCTTTTTTTTCATAAAATCTCATTCCACCTTACCTCATACTCACCTCTACACAATCGACCATCACCACCATTCCTACCATCCGCCGCCGCCATACCATCTCTTCCATCCCCACCACTTTCATATGATAAACTTTCAAGAAGCCTCATCGTTCATATGAAAAGAACGACTAGATGCGGATTCAAGCAATGTGTAACGTACAGATGACCATGCCTCCTCTACAAATCAAATTGTAAGTTTTTATAATTTTATGGAATTGGTTGCTCATACTATTTTGAAAAAAAAATGTTTTTACCCTATTATCGTTCCTTAGTTTTGCTTGTATCTGGAAAGTATTAATTTCTTGATGGAGTTTTTGCCATCGTGATTGATTTTATTTCCATGGTGTGAATCGTGATGTTGAACTCCAATATTAGGGTTTTATATGCTTAATTTTTTTCAAAATCGTTTGTGTAAGTAGCTCCTCCTTCAACTCCCAAGAGTAGTAAAGTGATAATGGTTTGTGGGAGATCGTATATAGAGAGTCACCATAAATTGATGTTGAAGGTTTGCAAGAAGGTTCTCAGGTATGAAAAGTGACCTGACCAACACAGTTTCTTCTCCTTGCAATTTGGGTTAAAAATAACATCCTCATCCACCATACATAACCAATTTTTATTATTGTGTACACACCAGCAACTCATTGTCAATGCTGGAGCCCTGCCTCATCTTGTTTCTTTCCTTAAGCGACACATGGATGCAGTGAATGGTGTTATAAGGAGAGCAGCAGATGCAATCACAAACGAGAATAGCAGCATCAAGACCCGTCCGTGTTAGGTCAGTTCTTTTCTACCCTTTTTCTGTTACAGTTTTGGGTATTTTTGAGCTTGTTTGACATCACATTCTTATTCTTATGTTAAGGGTTGAAGGTGGAATCCCTCCTCTTGTTGAATTGCTTGAAGGTGCAAATGCCAAAGGGCCTCTATTTTATTTTTGTTATATTGAAATTTATAATGGCAGTCCATTGTTTTTAGCCTAACGGACTAGTAAAAGGCCCAATACCTAATGTTATTTGGCGCCAAAGGAGCGGGAGCGAGATGTAAATTACCGATTTCCAAGACTCATCAATGTTATCGTAACGCTTCCACTTCTCCAGGAGAGCCAACGTTTACTTCGATTCCTTTCTTATGCGGTTTCTCACTCTTCTTCTTTCTGATTCCTGAATCCCAGTATCTCACATTCCCCTCTGGTCGATCTTCCCTAAAATCTCCCAATCTCCACCACAACTGAGCAGTTGCCCACAGAAGAAGTTAGATGCATTAGAAAAAGATTAGAATCATCAACATCCAGTGATACACATGGAGAAAGTAAGCATGGTTGATTAACATTGAGGCATGTATTCTACTTTCTAGCAACAACTTAACCTCTTTTTTCTAGGATAAAGTTAAATGTGAGTAAGATGCTATATAGTAAACACATAGGCTTACCATGTTTTTAATTCTTACAGAGTTATCTTCTAATTAATTTCATGAATTTTGATGCTCCAGAGTAAGAAGATTGACGATTGGCCCAATGTATGTTTTAAAATTCGATTTTGTATCACCATGATATTTTTCTTCTTTCGTTACATACAGATTATTATTAATTTCTCTTATGGTTGGTTCAACTTAAATTACTTTAATAGTTGGTCAAAAATTTATATAACTCTAGGATAAAGTTTCCTTTTAATATGATTGTGGATCACATACAAGACTTCATCCTCACACAGATTGATTTTTAGTTGAAGTGTTGGAATATCATGAAGGGAAGGCAACAAGCATTTAATAATGATATACTAACATTAGATGTTGTTGGTTGTTAATGTTTATGATGTTATCACCACTTTGTAAATCAAATAAAAGTTAAAATTCATCGATTAATTTAACAATTCAATATCTTTGTTATATTATTCTGCTGTACATCAAATAGCAACATGTTAGCACCAACAAACCTGTTTCAAAAAACATCGATTCTTGTGAGACCAATTAGCTACTGTGTACCATTGTTATATTATTCTGTTGTTAATGTTTATGATGTTATCACCACTTTGCCTGTACCATTGTTCTTGTGAGTAGATCATTTTATTGAGTTATGGTTTTAGAATTTAGATTCTTGATGTGTTTTTCTTTTTTCTTTTTTTGATTTTGTTTTTGGCGTAGGCGAAATGCAGGGAGACTGAAGAGATTCTAGAATATGAAATATAAGGCCATGTTACTTGAAGCCATACTCTATTTATTTATTATTGCTGATGCACTAGCTTTTCTCTACCTTCTAATAGAGGGATTCATTCGTTTCATGTTCCATACCGTATTTCTTGAAGCTGTACTTTCTTATTAAAAACTTGATTTTGAATGAAATTACAATATAATGCAAGTCCAATTTTATACATAAGAATGCAAGTTTGCTAAAAAATTCCTAAAATACCCCTGGGCTAAATTGTCCCAATTTCTGTGGGTTATCCAACAGGTATTTCAGAAAAGATAAAGATTGTTGATTTTTTAACTACAGTAAATCAAGATCCATCATCACCGGTGATGTTGCCAACAAAGATTCTTTGCCCCAATTGAACGACTAAAATTCTCCCAATTTCTCTAGAGGCTAGCAAGATTCTAAGTGCAGTTGCTATAGCCTTCTCAAATTGTTCCAGGTAGGATTCACTCATTCTTTTTCTTTTAAATTTAATTACATTACACTTAAGTTCTGATTGTATGAACAATGGAACAATTTTAGTTTGTGGCCAGCATTTATCCCAGTGCATGATCCTTCTAGAAAAGCTTATATTGGTATCCAAAATATGGGAACAGTATTTACTCGAAGATTTGAAGGAGATCTTATTTCCACTCAAGTTCCTGTAAAACTCGTGCATTTGGAGGGATTATATGAGTTGTTTGTATCTAAATTTGTAAGTCACCTCTCTCATTCTGTTTTCTTTAAAGAATATTCTCTAACTGAATCATAATGTTGTAGGCCTTTTCATCATCAGACCTTTCAACACATTTCTTCAAAGTCCATTTCACCATGAAATTAACATACAAGACACTTACTTATGATGAAGACAATGAAGTGCTAAATTCTGAGTCTGAGATTACTGAATCTGGAGGTGATAATGGAGGCGATAATAGAAACAAACTACAATGGGATGATGATTGTCCTTGGAGTGAGTGGTATACTGCAGAAGACCCTGTAAAAGGTAATAATATATTTATGTATAATGGGGAAATGTAACTTTTTTTTTGTTACTGATAATTTCATAGAATGTGTGCATCTTTTTAACTGGTTGCTATGTGGGGAGAGAAAATGGTGGAAAGCTCCATGGAGATGGCTGAACTTGAAAATGCTTCTATTCAGGATGCTCAAAATTGGTTCATTCTTCCCGAATTCTCTTCTTATCTATAGGGAATGGAATTGGAATTATGTTGTTAAATTTAGTTTCAACATATGTCTGTATGAAATGACACAATTCTATCTTATAGCACTGGTGATTATACTAGAAACATGGTTGGATTTGCTTCACAGCTTCGCCTTCTGATTGAAGCATTAGCCATGCCCTTGGATGTTAAATTCATGGAAGATTTTGTGTTAGCACTAAAAAAGTTTGTTGTTGTTGTTTTTATGTTGTTTAGCCATTTCTGTACTAGAGTCACTTCTTATTAGAGAAGTACGTTGGTGTTGGGAAGAGTCACAACCATTGCCACGAATGCCAACCAAAGCTGCAATTGATCTATCAACCTCTTTAGTTCACAAAAATCTGCAAATGGTAATTGTTTTGTTCTTATTTTTTTATATCATTATTTTTATAAACTTTTTTTTACAATATTTGCTTCACAACTTGCAATATATATTGAGAAAAAACGTCAACAAGATACTACCGGTGACAACAATAGTGATACTCCTAGTGTTGAGGTAGGTAGGCATTTTTTTTTGTTTGTAAGATGAGAGATTATGATTTATATTTTGTGTTAATGGTTTATTTGTCCAAAGTACAGGCTAATGAAGACTTTTCTTATCCATCAGGAGCAAAAGAATAAGGTTTAGTGAAGCAAAGTGATAGGTGAAATAAGCTGCCACCGCTTGATGCCCCACATCATCTTCGAAAGCATGAATGGGCTCCATACAGAGAAGGTTCCTCTTACATATAAACATAAACATATCATTTTAAATGCATTATTTATGTTCATGAATGTCAAAACACTTGTAGAATTTAGATTTCTTAGAGCACATAAAATAAAGAGCAAAGCTACAAAGTAATTGTTGAGGGAGAAAGACTTTACAATGAAGTACAAGGCTTGTTTACGGAATGAACACTAAGACAAGACCCCCACCCCCCTTTAGCACTCAAAATAAGAGTCAAACTCATACCCATGCCATTTTCTATTTTACTTTAATTTTTTGTTGAAAAAACTGAAATGATGTGCATTCTGACTTGTGCTCTTGTGAAAAGGCTTGACAGCAGTGATCCTGTTATCACTCACACATACACATGGGATTCAGTATCCTTCATGGTCATATGCATTTAAGCGAAAACCAACCTCAACATTTGGAATTCATGTCACTAAGTCTGCATGTTATACTACTTGTATTACATGCATCTGATGTCAATGATAGATAGTTAAATTGATCATATTATTATTATTATTATTATCAATGTATCTTAGTTGTAAACATAATAACCTACCTAGTGATGCAGTGTAGTGATGCAGTGTAAAGTGTGAATTGGGATAACTTTTACAAATTGTGATGCGACCAACTGACCATCTTTAATGTAGTTTTCTGATCAAGTGACATTTTTTCTGTTTTGTGGGACAATTAAAAGGGTCTAAGTATGAAATGTGAAGAGATGTTGTTCTACGTAAGAATATAAAGTTATATATATATAGTACTTGCTAAATTAAAAGAAGATAGGACTAAAAATGAAATTATCATGTTGTACTTGTAATTGAATAGACATTAGACAAGTTGCAAGATCCTTAACATGCATAGACCTTTAGATTTTGATTTTTGAATGAAGGCCTTTAATTGTTTTCAATCATTATCATTATATTTAATATTTGATTTGATTCACTGCAGAATGTGGTGATTGATGAAGCAGTTGAGCCTCGAAGAAGAGTTACTGTAGCCATGGGAACCGATCGACAACTGGATGGTATAAATATTAATATTATTAAATCCAGTCCTTTCATGCAATGTGTAATTGTGTATACGTTAGGCTTAGAGCAATGGTTGCAAGAGATGAGTTCAGAAGAAGAAGAAGAAACAAGGCTGCAACTATAGTTCAGGTACTATGGATGAATTATGTTTGTAAAGTATTTAAGAAAATGATTAGAACAAGGGTGAATTTGTACAGATTAGTTAGCTACTTGCAGGTTGATCTTGAATAAGCAAAGAGGCAATGAATTATATTTTTTGTATCTAATTTGTTTGTAAATTTTTGTTACAATTTCTATTGATTTGTTTTATATTTCCATGGAACGACTATTTGTATGACATTAAATTTATGCAATGGATTCTATTGTTTGTATATGATAATTTATTTTCTATTATGAAACATTAAATACAAATTTAATTTGAAAATAAGTAAATCTATAAATAATATTTTTTTTAAACATTTAAAATTATGATACGCAAAAAAAGTATGTCGTCTTCATTTATGACATGACCTTTCTTGACAGCGGCTTTCTTGATACGCATTGCGTGTCATTAACACGCGCGTCGTAAGTTTACGACACGAGAATGCGTGTCGTCTTCCTTTATGACAGGAACTTTCTTGATACGCATTGTGTGTCGTAAACGCGCGTCGTAAATGCGCGTCGTCTCTCTTTATGACAGGGCCTTCCTTGACGCGCATTTGCGCGTCGTATGAGCTTTTTACTGCGCTCAATGAGCGTTGTAAAAGACTGTTTTTCTAGTAGTGAAAATTTATGAGAGAGAAAGTGGTACAAACAAGTATTCTAGAGAGAGAGAGAATTATGGATCAAATCAAGGAAAAATTCTATTTCTAGAACACAAAAAAACTCTCTAAACACGAAGATCAATAAGGAACATAAAGAATCAAAAAATCTAAAATGTCATCATGGATCAATTCTTGATCAAATCAAGAACAACTGCTCTGATACCAATTGTAGTGGTGTTGATTATGATGACATGTGTGGAATTGATTAGAATCATCATATAAATCATGAACACATTGAATAAATAAATCTGGTTTAAGCTCTCATTAGTTTTTGATAGAAAGAATACAAATGAGTCTTGCTATTTCTCTCTCTAAAACTAACACTTTAAAATGATCATTTCATTAATATAAGTGTCACTCACTTCCTATTTATAGGAAAGACAACTCATTACACAATACAAGAGGGTAATCACAAATACATCCAAGCCTGACTTTGCACCCTAACAATTTCTGGCCGATGAAAAACGAAAATTGTTCAAGTTAGCATAGGAATCTATAAGGAACGATGTGAAACGAGCGTTTAGAGTCCTCAAACAAAAGTGACACATAATCAAACATCCATCACGAACATGAGATATGGCAAATTGACGACGATGATGACTACTTGTGTTATTTTACATAACATGATAATAGAAGAAGAGGGTAGGGTTATTTGTTCATATATCTCGAACAATATACTTAATCCACCTGCAATAATACAAGTTGGAAGCCCAACATACTCTCAAGGATTTTGGAAATACATAACTGTAAAACACATCACAATCTACGTCACGATTTGACCAAACACATATGGGAAAAACGATTCCAAGGGCAAAATGACAATCAAGACGAGGAGGATGAGGGTGGTGATGAGGAGACGAATGAGGACGGTGACGACGAGGCGGATGATATCGGTGACGACAACGACGAGGCGGATGATGTTTTAAATTTTTATGTTTTTAAGTAATGTAATGTTTTATTTGGTATGTTTTATGTTTATTTTAGTAATTTAAGTATCAAATTTCTATGTTTTTAATTAATGAAATGTAGTTTTTTTTTTCAAAAAAATTATTTATGTTATAAATTACATTTTTTATTTAATATAATGTTAAAAAAATTGTAGAGTGGTAACCATTTTCAATGTCTAGTGGGTTGGTAGTGAAGGTGGCGTGACGCAGAAATGACAACGTTTTTCTGATGGGTTGGTGGTGACCTCTCCCCATAGCCTTATCTCTGCAAAATCCATACGTAATCGGCAACGAACTCCTATATGTTTGATTAGGTAAGAGTTAAATTAATGAAAGTTATGTTATGTTTTTTAAATAATAATGAGTTACAATAAAAACCAATATAAATTTATTTTATTCATATTATATTTTTTTATGTTTTTTTAACAAATTTACAAACCAAAGATATTTCATTCCATGTTAAACACCTAACAAATTCTAATCTATTTTGACAAATTAGATTCTCTCCAAAACATCTACAAACCAAGATCCCATTAATTTGTGGAGAATGGAGACTTTGTTTTATATTTTAAAGAAAAAAATAAATGTCCTCTTGTTTATCATTCTATCCCTATAAAACAATGATGTATGTAATCTATTAATTTTCTCTCTTATTTTTTATTTTGTTTTTTGATTTTGACACTTGCCTAAATTAATAGAAATAAAATATAAAAGAATATTTGATTTCTCTAATTTAAAATTATCATTATATTACAAAATGTGTAAAATCATTTTGTTTAAGATGTTAAAATATAAGAAACTAGGTGGGAAAGCCCACTTTGCGGGGTTCGGAACAAACAAATTTACTGAACACACATGGATTATTGATAATTTCTTTTAGTCGTTTGTGGTACGCTGTGACGTGTTATATTTTCTTGTTAATGTGGTCATAGGGGAATGAAGGCTGATCGAAATTGTTACATATATATAGAACACCAAAAGACGCATAGATGTTTATGCGATAGACAAAAAAAAAAAAAAGCAATCATCTTCACATTTGAATTCATGTCACTAAAATCCACTTACTCATCTAGTATTACAAACAAACAAAGCAAGCAAAATATTTAAATGCATGAAATAGCAATGTACTTTTGTTGATAAGTTTACAACGCCTTACTTTCTCCATTCCTTTAGCAAATACCTGCAGAAAGAAAAGAAGATAAACAAAAACATATAACCTAAAAATACTTTAAAACCATTGAATGCTCACAGGAATAGTAAATCTCTTTATTAGAAAGAAGAAAACAAGGTAACCAAGTAGTTTACCTCTATCAATTTGCCAAAGGATGTCGAAACAAAAAAAATAACGGACAACCGTGATTCCTCCAAAGAACAAACCAACTGTAAATAATAAAATAAGTTTTTATATTTATAACGTGAAATTTTCACTAATGAAAGTTAAAAAAAAATGTCTCAATATTTAGAACAGTGGTTGTCGATTCCCATCAGTTTAACGTACAATGTTTTATCATATTGTTGATGCATAGTGAGTGAGTTGTAAAATGACATAAAAGCAACCCCATTGGAAATTAAGTGGTTTTCTAACAACATAATAAATTAAGGCAAGAGATAGGAACTGACCACATACCCTCGTTTATCATTCAAACTATTTCATATAAAAAACCATGTTATATGCTTTCCATTTAAAAGAATAGTTAAATATTACAATAAAAAACAATATCAGCTAATTCATTTATTTATTATCATTACTTCATTTTCACAATACCATCCGATACCATTTTGATGCTATATACTGATTATCCAAACAAATCAGTTGACTATATTTTGATGTAATAAAAGTGTGTAATGTGTCACCAAATGGTGAAGTAGAAACTGTCATTTAAAATTACCTGTTTATGACCGACTTTTGCCCTAAATGTGCCTTTCTTACGGTTATCATACGTAGCAGCAATCGCCATTAAAATATGGATTTTAATTGGGACTATGCAACTTACATCACCCATAACAACTATATACCAAGAATTTGGGAAGAATTTGAAGGTTTGTTTATGTATTTCATCTTAGACTAACATACCATTATGGGCTAATTAAAGAAGTATATGTAAAAAAATTTGGTTTAATAAGGCTAACTTATGTCAAGAGAAGAAAAATACCAATATTTTCTAAAAAATCTTGTCACGGTTGTTATCATTTGAACTGAATAAATGGACCATGAGAAGTGACAATGTAAGGCTGGAAGTAACTTGGAACATGGGATTTTGAATTAGGGGCAGACTTGTACTGCTAAAAAGAGGAAGGGGTAGAAAGCGAAAAAAAAATAAAAAAAGCTTGATGATTATAATGTCCTGGGAACTTCCAATCTCTGCATAATCACAAACAATGCTCACTTTCCTGTTGTTGTTCTATAAACTGTTCATTTTCAAACATCAAAAAGTCATTGTAAATACTGTAAAATTATTTTTATTATCCTTAGAGATGGAATAAATAAATTTATACTTAAATAGTGGTGGGAAGAGATGTACCCACACAATTTTTTGTGATTGTGGCAACGATGAAAGTAAATGCATCGCATCGAACCGAAGGGATGCTTTCTTAAATTTGAAAGGGAAAGAGTTAGCCAAGAAAATGATACTAAAATAATCTTTTATAAATGAATTACGCACATGTATGTATGTTTTGGATATTTAATTTATTTCAAGGTAAAAAAAAATAAAACATATGCATTGTCAGTGTTAATATGGTACGTAACGTTTGTCAAGACTATCAAATATATAGCTACTTTTTATGGTCGACATTCGAAACAAAACTTTTTTTTAACATCCGGAATTTTAGGTATTATATTTATTCATTTTATTTTGAGTTTTGTGGAAGGACTCGTCGAGTTGGTGCGTAGACTCGCCGAGTAGAGACGCGATTTCTCATCCAGATTAATGACCGGACTCGACGAGTCGCATTGGTAGACTCGGCAAGTCCGCTGTTTAATGAAACCCTAATTTCTCGGGTTTGGGGCCTATTTAAAGGGTCTTACGGCCGTCATTTGTGCTCACCAGTCCCCAGAGAGAAACCCTAGTGAGCTTGAGTGTTTGGAGTGAGAGAAGGAGCCATTGTTAACCTTGGTAGTGTTATCTAGCAAGGGAAAGGAAGCTATAGCCAAGAGGAAGCAAGAGGGATAACTTCCTGAAGATCTGAGGTCCAGAACATCAAGTGTGAGGTACCATTTTTGAACCCTTTTCTGTTGAGGTGATGTTCATATTGATTTAGGGTTATTGAGCCCTTTTGTGGCTAGATCTAGTGCTCATTTGGTCCCTTAAGCGAGTTAGGTTCTGGATCTGGACCCTTGGAGGTCCAGAGTGTCACTTTGTCCAAGCTTTTTA